GCTTAGCGTGACCCAGCACCCACCACGAGGAGGTGGCCCTTCATGGGTGCCTCATCAAGTGTGCTTACTGCGACGGCGAACACTTGGCCTCATCAAAATCATGCCCTGCCTACGAACGTGAGACTAAAATTCAAAAGATAAAACACACCAGCAACATTTCTTATGCTGAAGCTAAAAAGCAGGTAACTGTATCAACCAATTCAGCTCTTTCATATTCAACGGTAGTTTCTTCTCGTGGCAATACCTCCCTAAACCACCAACCCACCCCCACCCCCCCGACATCAACGTCGTGCCAGACATCCATATCCTGGGTACCAAATGAAACATTAATGCTTCGAAAATAAATTCACGGACGCCGATGTCCAAGGTATGGAACATGATCCAGAGAATTAAAGGTAAGGGTACCAAATCAAGCATTCATCATCTCAAAACTGGGGACCAATTGTTAACAGATCAATCTGACATCGCAAATAAACTTGGTGAAACACTCGCAAAATATTCTTCCTCGTCAAACTATGTTCCTAAATTTCAAAAATACAAAAAATTGCAAGAAAAGAAACAAGCAAATTTTCATTCGGATAATGGGGAAGACTATAATGAAATCTTTTCTATCCACGATCTTCATACTGCTCTTGACCAAGCTCACAATACTGCAACAGGAGCTGATAACATTCATTATCAACTCCTGAAACACTTACCTTAATCCTGTTTAGAAACACTATTAAATATTTTTGATGACATTTGGACGTCTCGTAAATTTCCTTCATCTTGGCGTGATGCCATTGTTGTACCAATACCTAAACCTGGACGTGTTCATACAGATCCCTCAAATTATACGCCCATTTCCTTGACTGGTTGCGTTTGCAAAACCATGGAGCGCATGGTCAATAACAGATTAACTTGGTACTCAGAGTCCAATAATTTAATCACAAATATTTTCATGTGGTTTTCGTAAAAATCGCAGTACCATTGACCATTTAGTTCGATTGGAGTCATTCGTTTAGAATGCCATTCTTAACAAACAGCATGCAGTGTCAACATTTCTCGATTTACAGAAGCCTATGACACGACATGGAAGCACGGCATTTTACAAGATTTACATGATTTTGGTTTATGAGGCCGTTTGCCTCAGTTTATATCCGAGTTTTTAACTGATAGGCAATTTCAAGTCCGAGTGGGTTCTACCCTGTCTGACCATTATAAGCAGGATCAGGGTGTCCCACAAGGCAGTATTTTGTCTGTCACATTGTTTAGTATTAAGATCAACAGTTTATCAAAGGTCTTAAACGATTCAATTGATGGATCAATTTTTGTGGAGGATTTTAATATTTCTTGTCGTGGTAAAAGTATGCATACTATTGAACGGCAATTGCAGTTGTGTTTAAACAAAATTGATAAATGGTGTCTTGAAAACAGCATTGAATTGTCTTGATCCAAAACTAATTGTATCCATTTGTTTAGAACATATAAACCGCATAAAGACCCTGAACTGTGTCTAAATGGCTCTCCCATCAAAATCGTTAAGGAAGCCAAGTTCTTGGGTTTAATTTTTGACTCGCAACTAACTTTTCTTCCCCATATCAAGTCCCTAAAAACTAAATGCTTGAAGGCACTTGACTTGTTGAAAGTCGTTTCCGATTCTAAGTGGGGAGGGGATCAAGCTACCCTCCTACAATTATATCGATCATTGGTACATTCCAAACTTGATTGTGGCTCCATCGTGTATGGTGGAGCCTGCAACAGTAATCTAAAACTTTTAGATTCTGTCCACCACCAAGGTCTAAAACTATGTCTTGGCTCCTTTAGAACTTCACCTGTTGACAGCCTCTGCGTCGAGGCTGATGAGCCATCTCTTACACAACGCCATATAAAATTAACTTTACAGTATATAACAAAACTTTGTTCCAATGAGTCAAACCCTGCATATAAATGTGTCTTTAATCCACTATATGAAGATCTGTATAACAAGAAGCCTTCTCTTGTTCCGCCTCTTGGTATAAGAGTGAAACCTTTCCTTTCTGCTGCTGGCATTGAGCTAGAACATGGACACATTTTGATAATCTCTGTATTAAATGTATAATAAACAACTTCAAAATGTCTCGTCTTTGATTTTGAAGACCTTGAGCAATTTTCCTTTCCACAAGTTGACCTAACTCTGACAAAGTTATAAAAATCAGAAATTAATGAATTACAATATAAACAAGAATAAAATCAATTAAAAAGTAAATATAACACATATAAATCATTATTTACAGATTGGTCCAAGGACGGTGGCGCAGTGGCATGTGCCAATGTCATTGGATCCAGAACAATATCTTATAGAATACCGGATAACAGCTCTATATTTACAGCAGAAGCAAACGCCATATTAACAGCACTTAAATATATTCAACGACATCCTAAACTTAAACAATATATAATATTTTCTGACACTCTTCCTTGCCTTCAGGCTATTAAAAATCTATCTTGCAAACATCCACTTTTAATTGAAATAATCGAATGATCTTGCTACTGGCCAATGCGACATTGTCTTCTGTTGGTTGCCCAGACACGTTGGCATTTCTGGGAACACAATGGCCGATCTTGCTGCCAAGGCAGCACTCAACAAATCTGTGACACCACTTCTGATCCCGTACTCTGATTACAAAGCTGCTATTAGATCTTATATCCGTGATCTGATGCAGAAGAAGTGAGATACCAGAGTAGGTATCAATAAAACCCTACACCTACTTGGGTTGTCAGTCCAGACTTGAAGAGGTCATCATACGACGATGTCGTATTGGCCACACAAGTACACTCATGAGTACTTGTTGAAAGGTGAGGATCCTCCTTTTTGTATCCCTTGTGATGAAAGAATCACAGTCAAGCATGTCCTGCTTGACTGTGTTGAATATTCCATCACAAGGGATAAGTATTTCAAAGTAATACTATGAAGGATCTTTTTAATGTTAGTTCTCATTTAATTATTGCATTTTTAAAAGAATTAGATTTGTTTAGTGATTTGTAAATAGATACATATTTTATTATTGGTACATTGAATTAGTAACTGAGATTGTTAGTGGCTGTACCCTCAAAGGGGGTTGACGTATTGTAAAATTATTGTCCTCCTGAGAGGGTACGTAAGTCCCAAAACATTTAGTCAATTTAAGTGTACCAGGTTTTTAATCATAGAATATGTGTGCTTTTAATTTAAGGCTAGATTTCTCTTCTGTCGCAAATGGCTGGAGGGATGGTGTAAATCCCTGAAGAGCCACCTCCTCGTGGTGTGTGCTGGGTAACGCTAAGCGCTCTTCGACCCCTCGTTGTGGACCCGGGGCAATATTTGGTCCACCAACCCGTTTGCCTTGGGTTTCGCCCCTGTGTCTGTGGAGGACGGGAGGCTGGTGGTTGAGGGCAATAGGATCCTGGAACCGTGTTCCTTTTGCCCAACACATCACTTCGCCCCTTACTTCACCTAGACGGGTGGTAGAACTGGCCCGGTTCTATCAATCGGCTGGTCACGTCAAGCCCTGTGCATGGTGGTTATATTTGCACAATAAATTATGATTGGGTCTTGGAAATTTTGATTTTCAATGTTTAAATTATTCATAACTTTAAATTGCCTAGAGTCCTATGCCAGAAGGCGGTGGCTCATGGGCCAATCTGGTGATGTTGACCCCTGGGTAATGTATGTCTCCTATTTCTTGTCAAGGGCCGAACCAGTCTGGCATTAAATTGGTAGATAAATACAGCTATTCATGTCATATTCTCTGGAGTATAACACCCCTGTATCCCTGGTGTCAGCATCTTGGATATCCGATGCATATTGACACAGTCCTTGTTGACACTCCATGGTGGGTGGGGAGCAGGGGTGTCGAATCATTTCCTTTCGCCATGGCACTATCACATGCTGGTTCATCTCGTAGTGAAAAGAAAAGACGTTTTGAAGATTTAGATCCCACATCTGTATCAAATTCTTCTGACAGTGATTCTTGGCCACGATTTTTAGTCATTGAGGCTGCAGATTTCCTGCCAATCAAATTAAATCCGTTTGCCATTTCAAAGGCTGTTTCTGGTATTTGTGGTGAAGTAAAGAATGTCACCCGTCTTCGTAGTGGTTCACTTCTTGTGGAGTGTGCACGGAGACAGCAATCTGTCAATTTGTTATCCATCAAAACATTTGCCAACATTGAGGTTGCTGTGTCTGTGCACAGAACGTTAAATTCCTGTCGCGGCATCGTTCGTGACAGAGCCAGATGTCTTGCTGACATGAGTGAAGAGGACATTGCCACAGAACTAAAAGAACAAGCAGTGACGGCAGTAAAACGTTTTACAGTCAAGAGATGGTGTTATCATTAACACCAATACGTATCTTTTGACGTTTGCTCGGTCTCATATTCCAACATCAATTAAAGCAGGATATTTCAAAATCGGAGTGGAGGTGTATGTCCCCAATCCACTCCGGTGTTAAAAATGTCAGAAGTTTGGCCACGGATCACAGTCTTGTCGTAACTCTCTGGTGTGTCCCCGTTGTTCAGACCACCATGAGGAACCAGATTGTCAGAAAGATCACAAGTGCACAAACTGTGAGGGTCAGCATCCTGCTTCATCCAGGGCATGCCCTGTGTGGCAAAAAGAGTCAAAAATCATGAGACTTAAGTGTGAAAACAATATTTCGTACTTTGAGGCAAAAAAATTGTTATCAGGCCAAACATCAACTCCATCCACTGTCACATATTCTGCTGCAGTTACACGCTCTGTAGCAACGTCTTCTATTTCCTGTCAGACTGACTTGACTTGGGTCAAGTCAGAGAAACCTATCGTGTCAGCTACTCTAACTATGGCTGTAGTCACTCAGTCTCCACCCCTGGTCACTACATCTACGTCGGGAAGCCAAACAGACCGTCTGCCTGGCAATTCATCTCAAACGTCTTCGTCTCAACCGTCAAGTGCAAATACAAAGAAAAATAAGAAAGAAAGGAAACTAAACAAAAACAACCCTACCATCCCTTCATCTTCAGAGGTTCCTCTAGAAAACTCTTTTGGGCCTCTAGATATGGAGGTTACTCTGTCTACACAAGACAGACAGAGGAACAGTTCCTCCTCACATTCAAGGGAACGATCGCCAATTGAGCCACCATGACTCAGTTGTCGACTTTAATGCAGTGGAATTGCAGAGGATTGAAAAATAACTTCAATGAGATTCATTGCCAATGCGACATCGTCTTTTGTTGCTTACCCAGCCACGTTGGTATTTCTGGGAACACAATGGCTGATATTGCTGCTAAGGCAGCACTCAACAAATCTGTGACACCAATTCTGATCCCATACTCTGATTACAAAGCTGCTATAAGATCTTACATCCGTGATCTGATGCAAAAGAAGTGGGATACCCAAGTAGGTATCAATAAATTACATGAAATAAAACCCTATATCGGTTACACTTACTTGGGTTGTCAGTCCAGATTTGAAGAGGTCATTATGCGACGATGTCGTATTGGCCACACAAGATATACTCACGAATACCTATTGAAAGGTGAGGATCCTCCATTTTGTATCCCTTGTGATGAAAGAATCACGGTCAAGCATGTCTTGCTTGACTGTGTTGAGTATTCCATCACAAGGGATAAATATTTTAAATCACGAACTATGAAGGATCTTTTTAATAGTATCAGTTCTCATTTAATTATTGCATTTTTAAAGGAATTAGATTTGTTCAATGATTTGTAAATACATAAATATTTTAAGATTGGAAGTTTGAATTAGTAACATAGATTGTTAGTGGCTGTATCCTCGAGGGGTGTTAAAGTACTGTAACATTATTGTCCTCCTGAGAGGGTATGTAAGTCCCACAACATTCGAAGTAAATTAAAATGTTCCACTTTTTTAATCGTAGAATACCTGTTCTTTTAATGTATGGCTAATTTTGCTAAATTGCTAACGGCTGAAGGGATGGTGTAAATCCAGCTAGTGTCCATGAAGGAAGCAAATGTACTGTAAGTCCCCATGGTCCCTAGTATGGTGATCTACCTTCAGTTGTTGGCGATCAATAGCCTGTTTTTTCTATTGTATCGTCTTGTATAGTTCAAATGTTTTAGATTTAGTTACTAGTTTTACCTATATCTGTGATACTCTAGTTATTTTACTGTCCTTCGTCGGCAGAATTTTATAATTTCACTTAAATTGTTGATATATTTATAACTTGCTTTAGTCACGATATGGCTGAAATATTGCCGATGTGACTTAAAATCTTAACTCACTCACTCACTCACTTCACCTAGACGGGTGGTTGAACTGGCCCAGTTCTATCAATCGGCTGGTCATGTCATGTCCTGAATATGGACAGCGTGTTGTTCACGGCAGGTCTATCTAACACTACTTACCAGTAATTTTTGTGTTTTGTTAAATTGCCTAGAGTCCAATGCCAGAAGGCGGTGGCTCATGGGCCAATCTGGATATACGAACCTCTGACTTCTGTATTTCTTGGGAACAGGGTCATGGGCCGAACCAGCCTGGCAAAGCTGGGTATATCAATATCGGTGTGGACGTTTATGTTCCAAATCCTCTCCGGTGCTATAAATGCCAGCGATTTGGATAGGAACAAAAACTTGCAGAAATAACACGGTGTGTAACCGTTGCAGTGGTAACCATGAAAGCACTGAGTGCACAAATGTTATCAAGTGCGCTAACTGCAATGGAGAGCATTTGGCCTCCTCAAAAACATGTTCCTTTTTCCAACGAGAATCTGAAATTCTTAAAATCAAATATACCCAAAATATTTCTTTTCTTGAAGCCAAAAAATTGGTTCCAAATCCTTCTGAAACTCCTACCATCAAATATTCAACTGTCATTTCTTCCCCACCTCCATTCGCTAAAGTTGTCACAACCTCCGTCATGTGTCAGACATCAATTTCCTGGGTTACAAACCAACTCATTCTAGATGATGTTTCTCAGATGTCAACAAAATAGATAGACACATCTGTGTCATGTTCTCAGACAGAGAAATTGTTGGAACCCTTAAGTGACGTCAGGTCTGAACCAGATTTGCAAAATGGTAAAGATGCATGCAGTAGCCATAAACATTTATCGAACAGTGAAAAGAAAAAACTAAAGAAAAAGACCAGGGCTCTCCAGCACGTCGAGGTGCCTCCTGGGCCATCTGTTGTAGAGGTTCACAATCCATTTGAACCTTTAGAGATGGAGGTCAGTCCCACAACCCCAGTAGATGGGAATAGACCCCATTCCCGATCACGAACTCCAATTAAGCCTCCATGAGCTCTAAAACCATTATTCAGTGGAATTGTAGGGGGCTAAGGAATAATCTTAATGATTTACATTTACTTATACAAGATTTTAGACCGTCAGCATTTTGTTTACAGGAAGCCTATTTCAAAGAAAACGATCGATTTGATGTACGACAGTATAATTCATACAATTATTATTCTCCCCCAGGGCCAAAAGCCACTGGAGGGGCTTCGATATTAGTGAGGCAGGACATAATACACAGTCCTGTTCCTCTGAAAACTACACTTCAATCTGTTGCTGTGCGTGTGACCATGCACATTGTTTTTACTTTGTGCTCACTCTATTTGCCCCCTTCTTCTTCTCTCCAACCTGCTGACCTTCAAGAACTATACGACCAGCTTCCCAAACCTTGTATCATCATGGGAGACTTGAATGGCCACAATCCACTTTGGGGAAGTCCACATACAAACTGTAAAGGGAAAGTACTAGAAGACTTTCTTTCTAACAACAATCTATGTCTCTTTAATGATAACTCTAACACATACTTACATCCTGGAACGGGTACATACTCTTCTCTCGATTTATCCATAACAGACTCTGATCTCCTGAATGAGTTTGATTGGTCAGTCCATGACGACCTATGTGGAAGTGACCATTTTCCAACCATTCTAAAAGCTGTAACTCCGTCTGATGTTCCCCCATGTTCCAAATGGAATTTCTCAAAAGCTAACTGGCCTTTGTTTGAAATAATGTCATCTTCCAAATTAAAACCTGAACTCTTTAGAGATATTTCCGACCCTGTGCAATTCTTTTCTGATGAACTAAACAAAATTGCTGACGAATGCATTCCAAAGTCCTCTACAAATCCTCACATACGTAAACCGTGGTTTAACAATGACTGTAAGCAAGCTAGGAAGGCACGGAAAAAGGCTGAATACTATTTCCGTCGCCATCCAACGGTGCATAATTTGGATAAATATAAAATGTCTAATGCTAAAGCCCGACGTACAATTAAGCACAATAAACGCCAATCCTGGCGAAATTATGTGTCGAAAATCAATTCACGAACGCCTATGTCCAAGGTATGGAACATGATACAAAGAATTAGAGGTAAGGGTACTAAATCCAGCATCCACCATCTTAACCATGGAGATCAATTATTGACCAATAAGTCCGATATTGCGAATAAACTGGGCGAAACTCTTGCTAAACACTCTTCCCCTTCTAACTATGTGGTTCACTTTCAAAAATATCAAAAACAACAAGAGAAGAAAATTATAAATTTCAATTCAGATAATGGAAGATTATAACGAAATTTTGTCTATTCATGAGCTTCATGATGCCCTTGAACAAGCTCACAATACCCTTGAACAAGCTCACAATACTGCTACAGGAGCTGATAACATCCATTATCAACTCCTGAAACATTTACAAGAAACATGCTTACAAACCTTGTTAAATACATTTGATGATATTTGGACATCTGGTACATTCCCATCATCATGGCGTGATGCCATAGTTGTGCCCATTCCAAAACCTGGACGGGATCATACTGATCCCTCAAATTATCGACCCATTTCCTTGACTAGTTGCGTTTGTAAAACTATGGAACGAATGATCAACAATAGAATACTACGTATTTGGAATCCAACAATTTAATTACAAATATTCAATGTGGATTTCGGAAAAATCGAAGTACTGTTGACCATTTAGTCCGCTTGGAGTCATTTGTTAAAAATGCAATTATAAATAACCAACATGCAGTGTCTATCTTTTTCGATTTGAAAAAAAGCATATGACACTACGTGGAAATATGGTATTTTAAAAGATTTACATGATTTTGGATTACGAGGCCGTTTGCCTCACTTCATATCCAACTTTTTAACTGACAGGCAATTTCAAGTCCGCGTGGGGTCGACCCTATCTGATCATTATCATCAGGATCAGGGTGTGCCACAAGGCAGTATTTTGTCTGTAACTTTATTTAGTATCAAAATTAACAGTTTATCTAAAAGTTTGAATGATTCACTTGATGGGTCACTTTTTGTGGATGATTTTAATATTTCTTGTCGTGGTAAAAATATGCGTATTATTGAACGGCAAATGCAGTTGTGTTTGAACAAAATAGATAAATGGTGTCTTGAAAACGGCTTCAAATTTTCTAAATCCAAAACTAATTGTATACTTATTTCTGCCGTAAATACAAACCGCATACAGACCCGGAACTATCTCTAAATGGCACACCTATCAAAGTTGTGAAAGAGGCCAAGTTCTTGGGTATTATTTTTGACTCACACTTAACGTTTCTACCACATATTAAATCCCTTAAAACTAAATGCCTGAAGGCAATTGATCTGTTAAAAGTCGTTTCAAATTCTAAGTGGGGAGGGGACCAAACTACCCTACTACACCTATACAGATCTCTCATCCGTTCGAAACTTGATTACGGCTCCATTGTATATGGTGGAGCCTGTACAAGCAACCTCAAAATACTTGATTCTATCCATCACCAAGGTCTAAGACTTTGTCTTGGATTTTTTAGAACCTCTCCTATTGACAGTCTTTACGTCGAGGCTGATGAGCCATCTCTTGACCAACGCCGTACAAAATTATCCTTGCAGTATGTAACTAAACTGTATTCTAACGAGTCAAATCCTGCATTTAATTGTGTTTTTAATCCTCTCTATGAGGATCTATACAACAAAAAGTATTCTCTTGTTCCGCATCTTGGGCACAGAATTAAACCATTCATTTCTGCTGCCGGCATTGACCTGGAAACTAAAGCTCCTTCCCGTCTTCTTTCTTCTCCTCCTTGGCAGTTGGTTAGGCCCCAAGTTGACCTAACTTTGACCA